GGGCTGAAGCAAGAAGCAATATTATCTGTCATGACTGTGAGACAAGCCCTGCTGCTGCCCTGAATTATCTGCAGCAACTAGATCATCACAAAAAGCAAAAAGGGAGAAAGGTTTGGTGTTTGAGGGTGTTTAGGTGAGTTGGGTCTTCACCCAGAGCTAATTATTACATGCTTTCTGTGAGATGCTGACCCCAGAGCATTTCTGCTGCAATTTCAGCAACACAGCTGGAAATCAAATAAATTCTGTTATTTGGATTAAGAATTTACAGGAATCTATCTTTAAAAATTTTGGGCAGATAGTGTGGTGTCTAGTATAGCAATTTCATTTATTCATTTCATTTCACACATATTTTTTTTAAATTTTTTTGAGTCATTTATGTAAACTTTTTTTAAAAAAAGTATATAAATCTTCCAGGAAAGTAAAAAAATCAGTTGTGCACAAGGAAAAATGCTATTAATCTCACCTCTACATATTGAAGCAATGAAAAACATAACAAACAACAGTAAACAGATATGAATCAAATAACCAATACTGGGTATTTTAGGTTCAGATCTTTCAAAGGCATACGAATGCGCACCGATAGCTTTATGAATGCAAGCCACCTTTAAAACAAATCCTGGAATTAGGTGTTTGCACAACTCTCTAAGAACAAGGAGACAACATACCTATTTAGATATGATAGTATATTCAATAAGGTTTTCATTAGCTCACACAAATTTTGAACCTTTCTAAATGTTTACAAAAAATTGAGATTCAAACCCAATCATAATGGATTAAAAGTATAAAGTATAGTATATACTGTAAAGGCAAAATGAAAAGTGTTCAAGTTGTAATTACTTCAGATACAGCATTTAAATTTATTCAGGCTTACACAAGCATTATTATAACTTCAGGCATTCTTCCCCAAGTGGCCAATTTACTTTTTTACTATTAGATGGTTGATTCAGTGAACATTATCACACCATGGAGCTCTGTTCTGAAGAGAAGCTCCCTACACCACCACTCACATGGACTGCTATGATCTTCTGACACGCAAGTGCCACACAAAAAACATGAGATATGCAATCAGAGGAGAGGGCAGAGGGCTGAAGTGCTTCCTTCCTTACTCCAGATACTCACTGATGGGTATTTTGCAGGAATGGAACTTTGGAGATTTGACATCCAAATAACAGAGCATGATGACCCAGATCTAGCACCTGTAAGAGCACTGAAATGGTTCGAAAAGAGAGGTCACCATCTCTTTATGAACCATTTCATGCATGTCTGGTCTACTGGCTTATCAAAGCTGTCTTTGTCTCTTCACAGCTCATGCTTCAGAAAAGCCTCATGCCTTCACTCTCAAGTGATGGCAATGGGAAAGGGATACTGCTGAGCGTCGCTCAAGGTGACGTGTGACATTTCACAAGGTCAAGCTCTATGTTAAACACAAGTCTGAAATGCCTTCAAACCTAAAACCAGATCTGTTATAATTTCTCATGTGTTCCAAGATCCCATGCAATAATGCTTCTTCAATTACTATATTTTGCACTAAAAAAAAAGATTTTTAAAAAATGCACATTTTTTGACACCTACTATCAGACACTTCCTAGTAATCACACAATATCAAATATACTTGTGAATTCATATAGTATCGGTTGTCATTTTAACTTCAGTTCTGATCCTTCACAAAACCAAATTTCTCAAACAAGCAGTGATGAGGGTTGGAACACTAGCCACATTTTATTTTTTTCTTTTTATTGATCTGTATACTAGCTTTTCAATCTCATCCATACATTTTGATGTATGAGTCAAGCTACTGTTTTATTCTATGTATCTACAGATGGCTGAGGGGAGAAAATCTACACATTCAAACTAGTTAATTGGTGGCATTTGGAGAACTAACTACTGGTTGATTTTTTAAGTAACTCTAAAGTTAACATGGTTGTTTCCCAAACATTTGGGATAATTTTGTAGTAAGTACACAAATGATCAAAAAGTGGCTGCTGTTTCTCAAGCAATCAGGTTAGTATTTAAATACACAGAAGGGATTATGCATTTGTTCTGTGAAAGCATTTTAAAGATTTTTTCCCATTTTAGACTTGCAATGATGAGCTAAGAAGAGGCTGTTGCCTTTCTGTAAAGAAACAGGTGACTCATAAGCTGAATTTTGAGAATAAAGTTGACTGAAATAGGAAATAAGTGAAAGTTAGGGAATGAGGAGATGTTATAGTTTGATCTTGTGAAAAAGCTTTAAAATCAAAGTCTGAGTAACACTGCTTTCATCTTTAGGTGCAAACTCTAAGCTTTTACTCTTTATTACTTTTTGAAGAAGAGAAAAACAAAAGCTCTGCGAGGTGGAAATATAATTTACCTTCATTAAAAGTAAACTGGTAATTTTGCAATCACACAATGGGAAATGTTTATGACACAAAATAGTAAATTCCCCAAGGTTACAGCAAACTTCATATGGATGCATACTAAATCACTCAAAAAGCTTTAATATACAAATGAAAAGTTAGAGAATATAGTTTGTCTTTCTATTTGAATTTAGTGAGGGCCTTTTTAAAAAGTTCCCACCAGGTGATCTGTCAGGTGGGATTAGCAGGACAAGATGGGAGAGCCCTGAGTTGCAGGAATTCACATCCGACTGACAGCCAGAGCTCAGGTACCTCCTCGGTTTTGTGCAGGAGGCAAAAACCTGCTATTTTTGAGAAATGAGATTATTCCTTAAATGTTTCTGGATAATTTAAAAACCTAACAAATAAAAGTATTCTGATTATATGCCCCTAGATTTGAGACCTCGTTTCTGGCCAGCTCTCTGGCTGCCACGGAGGCAGGTGGTGGGACTGCTGGTGCCTGGCAAGCCGGGGTGGAAGGCAATCCCCAACGCTGCTTAAATAGTCCCTGTCTTCTTGGAGAAACAGCTTTAAACCACACAGAAACATCCACTTGTTGGATGAGCTCGTGGCTGCCTCCTGGACTATGCTGATGCTGATGACCAAAGTTAGGTTTTCAAAAACACACAGGAACTGTCTTCATTCTTTCTCCACTGCATTTGGTAGGTGTTCTAATGACCTCAGTGGGAAAAGAATTATGTCTCTGCCTGCTTTTGAAAATCTCACTTTAAATGTCTGCACTGGCAAGTCCTTACTCCACACCGTGAAACTGGTGAAAAACACTCACTGATTTCAGTAAGCTTTGAAACAAGCCTTTAAGACTTTTAGCTCTGAGCAGTCTAATTGGAGTTAATGTTAGTAGGAGCACAGCGTTTGGAAGGATGACAGTCTTTATACTTATGTTGACTTTTGAAGGTGACCCAAGTAATCAAAACGACTAGAGACTTCTTTCTTTTACAAGAAATTTTAAATTAAGTGTCAAACTTAGATCAAGGGTCAGGCTTTATAATACTTTCAAGTTCTCCCATAAACTATCTCATGCAGATAACTTTAAACAGTATTACCTAGCAAAAGCAGCCTTACTTGTCAAATGAATATGAATACATAGTCTTATAGCATGATACAACTTTACAGTATCTGCAAATACTGTCATACAGCATTGCATGCAATAAAGTATCATAAAATTTTCAGTTGTAAGAAGGCACAAATGGCAGTAACCCCTTCCTGCCTGTTATTTGAATCTCTTTCTCAAAGATGATTTGAAGAGTAATCCAAAATCTCCTCCTGGTTGTGAGGACCTGCAGGTAACCTGGAGAGTTGTCCCCATCTGTGCCCTTCCCCTGCCCCTAATATTTTTTCTCTGTGACTTTAAAATAAACAATTAGGACTTCTTTATTATTTTGTGCTGTAATTGTGAGCTTCACTCTTAAACTGTTACCAGTGGAGCAGGAGTAAAAAAAAAAAAACTCTTTAAAGAGTTTGGACATGGTTGGTCAGGGGGATTGATCAGCTGTCCTTCAGCTCCTGGGACAAGAGAGTCAGCTTCCATGTGAGCTCCAGAGACTGCAGATGCTCCTTGGGAGAAGCTCACAGTCAGGAAAAGACCCTGGTTTTGAATGAGAAGCTGCTTCAAGCCTCCTTTGCCACAAAATGACACATCAACAATGATGAAGCATTCTTAGGAATCAGAGGAGAAAAGTGCTTTTTTATGTTGAACTTTGACTTTTACTATTTAATACTTTTTAAATTTAAATTTTATTTTTTTTTAAGAAAATAAACCCTGGTTTTGAATGAGAAGCTGCTTCAAGCCTCCTTTGCCACAAAATGACACATCAACAATGATGAAGCATTCTTAGGAATCAGAGGGGAAAAATGCTTTTCTATGTTGAACTTTGGCTTTTACTATTTAATACTTTTAAAATTTAAATTTTTTTTTTTAAGAAAATAAAAGTATCCTGTTAGAATACAAATATCAGTTGACAGATAGCTCTTGGTGAAACTGGCTTCTGTCCTCCAGGCAACTAGTTCAGCCAAGGAAATAAAGCAATCCACTAAACCTGAAGCTTATGGGAGCCTGGGGAAGCTGGGATGGGAACAAATTCATCCATGCAGCAACTAGGCTGCAGCAAGAAGGAGCCAGCTTCTGAAGATTAAAGCCTGACAGAAGAGACTGAAAAAGAGAGAGACATGAATTCAAGCTTAGACAGAGGAGAGTGGAGAGGATCTATTCCCTGGCGAGACTGTTAAAGATTCCCAAAGCCTAGGGTAAACAAGAAGATGGGCGGCCTAAAGGCTGAGGAAAAAGGCCGTGATCATCACCATCAGTGACTGTGAAGTCTTGACACGGCCATCACATTGCACTGCTAAAGCACTCCTGTGGGGAATCACCATATAAGGTTGTCCATGGTTACCATAATTTTTATTTTGCTGGACAATTTTCTCCAAGACATTGAAACAAGGAGGTATGTGGGTAGTGCAATTGAACCGTATCAAAAACATGCTAGAATTTTCATCCAACTTTGACAAAAAGACATATATTATTACCTGAAAATTACCACTCAAACATCATATGCAACACTATACCAGCCATATCATAGTATATCAAATGTCAAGGCTGCTGAGTACCTGAATGAAAGGGAAGAGCAGTCCTACTGCGAAGTTGGAGAGCCAGTTGACCGTCCCAGCTATCATGAACGCGGCTGGTCTCTGCGACTGCTGGAAAAACTCTCCGGTGAGGACAAATGGAATCCCACCTGAAACAAGGTCCAAGACATCAGTCATTTTAGTAAACTTCCTCTGCCAACAGCTGTTTCACTTACAGAGACGAACAAGCTTTAGTGATGAACATGGTTTAGTGATGATTTTTGTCAGTGTTAGGCTGATGGTCGGACCAGATGATCTGAAAGGTCCTTTCCAACCTAGACAATTCTGTGATTCTATGCTCTGTGTTACACATATCAGTAAGTAGCACTGCTCTGCAACTCTCTGCTCAGGATGCAGACTGCAGGGGCTTCTAAGCCAGTAAAATGTGATTTGTCAAAACCATATTTAGAGAAGTCACATTTCTCTCTTCCACGCTACCACATCTCCTGGTTTACATCCTTTCAGTGATGGCAAGCAGGTAACAGAGCAGTGATTCCACACAACAGAGTACCATGTGATGAGCTGTTTATTAAAAATAAGAATAATTGTTTCTACTAAAGTGCTTGAAAATTCAGAAATACTCCAAACTATTTTTCTACCTTAGCAGGTGGAGAGATGGCTTCAAACAGTTTGGGTTTTTTTATAATTATTACCAACTTTCTTTTAGCAATAAAAAAGGTAAAATATTTGCTTCTTTCTAAACATACTTTTCATTGATGCTTATTTAGTACATTCCCTTTCTAGATATACTGTTGGCACTTCTGGCAAGGTCTACTTCTCCCATCGGTCAAGGACTCTGACCTCTGTAATAACAAGCTCAGTTGAATACCACATTTGTCACTTGTGTTTCCTTCCACTTAGACAGTGGACTATTTTATACAGCACTGGCATATTGCTGGCCTGAAAATACCCTCAGGGAATAGCTGTCTAGTAGCTGAAACTCTCAATTTGTGATCTTTGACTTCCTTCATTCCAATAGGATTTTTCAATACAAATATTTCTATTTTTATAGAACAAAACATGGATTGCATTTGCTGGTTGGCTACAAGTTTCAGTTAATATTGCACATTAGACATGCGTCTACTTGCAGAATTATTTCACCAGAGTTTGGAAAATTGTAAGCCTAGTTACATCAGACAGGTTTTCAGTATTCTAGTGCTACCAATTTCTTTTTCTAGGTCTTCACGTCTGCTGATATCATCAGCATCACTTTGTGGGCAAGATCCATGTGCACAGGTACTGTGCAAGACCTTTCTCTGCTTTAAGCATTTTAACAAGTTAAATGTGAGCAATCAAAAAGCCTATTAATGGGGACACTTCCTCTCAAAAGCCTCTAAAACAATCCTCACTTCCAAAATACATAAAAATTAAGCTGAAAACACCACCAAGGACTTATCCATCCCCTGGATATTCTCCTCGCATGTCTTTGCTTGTCGATGTGTTTATCCCTTTGCACTACCCTTACCCTTGGACAGCTGGGAATACATCTGTAAGTGCTTTACAGTGACGCATTGTCATGTAGCCCCCCGTGCTCAACAACACTACCAGGAAACACATGCACCAGAAGCTGTCCTGTGAGCAGCACGAGATAGAAACCTCTAAACACGTGACAGGACACGCAGATAACACCCGGTATCAGATATTCCCCCATTCCACATCTTTCAGATGCAGAGACCGTGAATATGTACATAAAATAAAGGCACTGTGATGCACCAAATGGCTACATATGTTAGTAGGCATCACTCTCCATCGCCAGCTAATGGGACTTTTTGTGACAACACATCTACAATGGCAGCAAGGGCTTCAACTGAACTTTCTGTCCCAAAGATTGCCAGTATAAATTACACCAAAACAAAAGCTCTGAGCAAGTAAACTTATTTAGTTCTACTTTATACATAGGAAACTGAGATATGGAGATTTTAGGCCACCCAAGCCCTAGTTTAGTGTCCTTCTACAAGCCATATGTAGGACCTGAATTCTGTGACTAAAAAAAGTGACCTCTCCCAATAGCACTTTGAACACATAGAATAAGCAGCTGAACAGGCATAACATATTGAAATTCAAGCAACATGTGGTCAATCAGTCCTTGGTGGCCTCTGCTGCCTATTTTATCAAACACTTGGGATTTGGGTTCAAACCCTAGGATATGGCAGGCAAAACAACAATCATATCTGTTCTGCCAGCGTCTGGTTTAGGTCTCAAATGCCATGCGAGGCAGTGGTTTGCCAGGGCACTTGACCCTTGGAAAGAGGAACTGAAGGACTGGAAACACAGAAATCATGTAAGATGATTTATTTATGATCATTTATTCTGTCATGCCTTTGCTGTAGGACAATCTACAGAGGTGTTGCTGTTTTTGTCAGTATAATAAAAAATGCTGTTTGAGACCCATTTGGGAAAATACACATTGTACAAGAGAGGAAAAAAGCCAGAGGCAAAAAAAAGACAAAAAACAGTATAAAAGGACAGAAACATATCAGAAAGCATAAATGTTATGGAAATAAAAATGCACGGGTACTATCTTGGAAAAAGGTTTCTTGAAATTCAAATATAATTTCTAGATAAAAATTAATCATCACTAAAATTTATTATTAGTCACAGTTGCCACAAAAACTCTTCAATCTAATTTGAAAAATCATCAATTAGTCTAGTGATGGCAAAAACAGTATCTTGCAAAGTCTAAAAAAAAATAATAAATAATAAATTAGCAGCTGCTCTGAGTTCTTTCAAAATTCTGGAGAGGAATAGGAAACCTAGCACAGAGAGACCTCCAGAATGTCTCGTAGCATAGAAAAGCATCTCCATTGCATCACAAAACAGAGAAAGCCAATTTCTGTAATGGGGTGACTTAAGACAAATTATATTGAAGAACTACAGGGCCTGAAAAGAGAAGCTGAATGAAGCCAGGTCATTGGTGGATATTGCTATATGCCTGGAAGAGCAGAGACTTGATCTTACTAGGATGCAGGCAAATGCCTCCCATGAGCCACAACACTGTGAAGAACACACTCCACAACTGAGTGCAGGGAGAAAGAAAGTAGGGTAACCTGAAGGAAAAATGCAGAGCCTTAAGACACAAACAGTGAAGACACCTGAGATCAGCTGAACTGATAGCTCCGGGAGTCCACCCCCAGCCATTTCAAGGTGTCAGAGGTGTGTTCAAGGACCCCTTTTCTTCTGGAACTTTGTTTATTTGATAAAGAAATTTGGGTGCATGGGATTGAAGGGAGCTGTAGCAAGCTTTGACTAGGTCAGTTTGGACCACTACTCAGTCTGGGGATGCAGGCTGGGTCCTCCCTCACTCTCTCTTTACAAAATCCCAGGATTTTCCACCTTACTTTTTGGGTAGTTGAGTCATAACAACAATATGGGATCTCAACAACAGAGTCAGCATCATTGCAAGGTTCTCTACAAAATCACTAAGCCAGATGAGTCCATACTGGCCTGTGTTCAAATATAGATACTTGGAAACCACAGCCAGAAGGAATCCAACCAAACCACTGTATTTTTTGAAACAGTCTTTTTGTCGTGGGTTTTGCAAGTTTAATATGTGTTTGAACGTGGGTGAAATAATTTCACAAAAAAGCTAACTGATGTTCTTTCTCATGGGGAATGAACCTGGCATTAGCATTTCCCCTGGAAGGCTTTCCACACAATTTTCAGTGAAACAGCTTTATTTTATATCTGATCATAAACCCAAAAATGTATTTCAGGATTTCCTGTAGGAGTTCTTCAGCAAAGTAGCTTCTGAACATGGATTTAAAGAGGTAATGCATTGACCACAATAATTATAGTGATTCAATTCCCAATACATTGTTCTTTTCAGCACTGCAATGAACATAATGGAACAAGTTCTTAACATACTGCAGTGCCATTAAAGAAAGATTGTTGTACCTGTTAGCATGCTACATCTACTACAAATTGCAAATTTCCTATGGCAGGACCTGTATATCAATGGGCTGTTTAATGAAACTCGAATAAGCCCACATGACACAATTAGACATGCCACAATACTTCTGTATCTGTGTATTTTATTCATTACACTCTGTAATTAGCCCAGTTACACTTAGAATCAATGTCATCTGCTGGTAAACATCCAGAATCTCAATCTAGTAGTCCTTTATGCATGAACAGAAATAATATTCTTGGTATACATGCTACAGATTTTCAAATATATATTTAAATTTGCACAAGTATCAACATGTTTTCTTATGAAAAATTAAGTATGCATATATATTGTTCAGTAAGCACTTACAAATAAACACTGCTTAGCAGATGTCGCTCAGTTCAGTGCAAAAATCTGAATACAGAAAACAGGAAGAAGGAAAGAAAATACTGAGATCCTCCTTCTGTTTTTATCCAGTACCTAACTGGGAGTTGAAGTCATGGCAATATATATGATTTATGAAATGAAACTGTTAAAATAATAAATGCCTAATACAAATCAGGGAGATTTATTACACTGGTAAATTGCCTCTGAAGGTGATGGAAACTGCACCCTCAGAACCAGTAGAGAGAAAGGAACTCAACTCCCTGAGCCCGCATCTCATCTCTCAATACACGCTCAAGACACCCTCTGCGTGTCCAGGTGATGGCTCCACGGCCAGGCGTGGGGTTTCCAGGCCCAGCAAGAGGATCACCCATGGTCACGCAGCCCAGTGGTCTCCTGCACGACTCAGCACTCCAAATTCTGCCTGTACAGGAGGGAGCCTGGAAGTCGCAAGAGCCCTGATGAGGACAAGAGCTTCTAGACTTCCCAACTCTGCGCTTTGAGAGAAGGAGTCTTCAAAGTGAGATGTTTTGAGAAAATGGGCAAGTGCTTTGTGACAATGTTCTGTTTTGGAAAAAAAAAATTCCGTGCAGCTCTAGGCAAAATCAAGCAAAACAGCTTTTAACTACAAGGCAAGGCATGTAGGATAGGCAAGGCATGTTAGGATATATCCTAACAGGGTTGGGAGATGAAGTACTATCTCAATGAAAGGCTTCAGTATTTGCAATTCAAGGGGCAAAGGACAGCTCTATAGGGAAGCTGTGGCAGAGAAGTAATGGAAGTGAGACAAATATCCTGACAAAAACCCTAGAAAACTGCTGGAAAAACAAGTCAATATTC